AGAAGGTTTTGACATTAGATTTCGAAATTTCGAAATACCCTTGCTTCTCCTCAATAATTCAGTGATAGCTGTTTCTTTAGGATATACTTTTTTGGGGTGGATGGTAAACGCGAGACGTTGGTATTCTTTAAGAAATTGAAAATATTTTGTTTATGTACAGTCCTAACACTAGATTTCGAAATTTCGAATTACGCTTGCTTCTCCTCTTCAATAATTCAGTGCTAGCTGTTCTTTTCGGGTATGTTTTTTTGGGGAGGTAAACGCGAGGCGTTAGTATTCTTTAGGAAATTGAGGTTATAATACTAGAAGGTTCTAACACTAGATTTCAAAATTTCGAATTGTCTTCGCTCCACCCTTTCAATAATTCAATAATTGGTGTTCTTTTGGGGTATATATTTTTGGGGAGAATGATAAACGGAGACATTGTGGTATTTTTAGGAAATTGAGGTTATGTGATTTTATTCTGTGAACAATCTTAACATTAGATTTCGAAATTTCGAAGCACAAAATTTCTATAAACCTGAATTGTTATATTCCGGAATTTGCAAATATTCAGTTTTCCAACTCTCTTAATTAGAAATTTCTAGCTCTTCAAATCTGAAATAATCAAATTTTCATATCCTCAAATTCTTAAATTATCAAATTTTCAATTTGCCAAATTCTCACACTTCAACATCTTTAAATATCGAAATCCTTAAATCTCAAAATTTTTAAATCCCTATATCCCTACATCCCCATATCCCTATATCCCTATATCCCTATATCCCTATATCCCTATATACCTATATCCCTATATCCCTATATCTCTAAATCCCTATATGCTTATATACCTCTATCCCTAAATCTCCAAATCCTTAAATCCCTTAATCCCAAAATCTCTAAATTCCTATATCTCTATATATCCAAACTCATAAATTCATCAACAGTCATAATATTAAACTGTGTGACATCATTCTCTGCTTCAGAAATGAATAAATTGCTCAATATGAATTTAAATAAGGTTCATTTTTAAACGAATTTTCTGTGCACTGAACAGACGACATTTCACTTAAATAATCGACTAAACGAAACTGAATGACAGTTATAGGTCAATTGCATTATATATGCCGAAATCTTAAATTAAACTGACGTGTAGAGAAATTATTGATAGTCACGTATATCCATGGTATGATCTTCCTAGCTGTTCCATAGATTGAGGGCAATAAACCTACATATCTAATTAAAAACTAGCCGCAAGTTGTGCTATAAATATTTCCATTAATAATTTTATGACTTCTCAAATTTTTTAATATGTACACGCGTTATTTTTCTTTGGATTTTCAAATTTCAATAAATTCCAAGTTTTCAATTTCCAACTTCTAGAATTTCAAAATACTATTATTACTAAATCACGAAGCTCAAGAATTCATAATTACTCAAATTTGGAATTGACTGAATGAATTTTTATATTTCAAAATTTCCAAACTCTCAAACACTTAAATCCTCGAATTCCTAAAAAAAAATTTTCAAATTCCCAAATTGTCAGTAAGCTATATTCATTTTAATAAAATAACAATTCGTAATTAATTTTTTAATAACAATGAAATTGTTAAAGGGGTTTGTGCACAGATTATAAAACAGAATCAACAGAATAAAGAACCTTGTCAATTTTTTTGAATATTTACTAGAAACTAAACTAGAACTTGTAACTCAATAATAAAAATCAGGAATGATACCTAAATGAAGAATAATATCCTCGTTCATATACCTAGATAGAGGTTCATGTACATAGAGGTTATATTACCAATATTATACAATTTGTCCTTTTTACAGTATTTTCAATATCACTAAACTCTACTGGGGCTAAATTGCATTGTTATATATCCGGCTATAAATAATTTCAACCTGGACTTGCACTACTTTCAAAATAAACATCTTTCCAATACCGTCACCCAAACCATCCGCCCAAATATTAGCTTCAATTATTTTGACTATAGATTGCTTACAAATAAAAATATCATATTAAGTTTCCACTATTGTCATTTCACCTTTCTCAGAAATGGATTACATTTTCAAAATAAACGCTTCAATAATTAGTCATATTTTCTGTACCATTGTTTTCTTTCGCGCAAATACGGTACCTAGCTATCGAATTAGGACCACGTACGAAATTTTCATTTTTATGGCTATAATATTATGTCATAAATGGAAAATTCTTTTAGGTCATGCAAAATTATTACTAAATACGTTCATGACGATTTATACATAGCAATTTGTTAATATCGTGATAATAAATTGTGTGATGAGTGATTTAGAGCCGTGCATTGAGGTTAGGTTCGAGTATCGATAGCGCATGAGATGAAATTTGAATGCCACAAAAAATGTCTGCCTACTCAAAAGACTAGTTTACAACTTTTCAATTACATTATCTGAGTTCAAAAGAATTACAGATATTTTGAAAAATAATGAATATATAAAGCATATGATGAATGTGTACAGAGCATGCCGAATACGAGCTGTCACTAAAGCAAAGGGTGGAAATACAAAGATATTAACATGTGTTAGAAATGTTATGTACAGTAGTAATATCATTGTAGCTAATAAATTATATCATTACAATTTAAACAGGCCTTTTAATTATACGGAAAACTTGAAAAATGCATAAAAAAGTCCTAATTCGATGGCCAGGAACTGTACATATTAATCGTGACTGTCCCAAAAAGCGTCCTCCCCTTATTTTTCACAAAAACTAAGGAAGATGGACCCAGCCTATCCGGTACGGTTATTATGAATTTATAGCGTACGCCTAAAGGAACTGAAGTGTCATCCAATTAAGCTTCAATAGAGAGTATTCCACGGATACGTAGCGTTAAGTTTCAAAGTGCTCCATTCTCAAAGGGTTAACAGCGAAAGCAAAAAGTTAATCGACTCCTCGATTATCACCATAGCTCTGAATACTAGCTACTCGATCATCGTTAAACGCAAAATCATACAGTTATTATCCGGAACATTTTAATACGCTTTGCACGGCTTTCCGAGTGACTTCGAGCAATATGGGCGTCAAATTGCAGGCATCGCGATCGATTTTGCGTCTGGTGTGCAGAGAAACCGGTTCCCTCACTCTTACACGATATTAACATCAGTGACACGAGCGGCTAACAGGGACGAATCAGGAATCCTAATTATTTAATCAAGTCTCGTTTCGTTCTTGACGTCTCTTGGCCGTCGAGCGATCTGCCCGAGAAATCGCGTGCGTGAATCCAATAATCGACGTCTTCGAGATGCGTTGTTTGGACAAAAATTTCTTTACAAGGCGAGCCACGGTCGGGAAAGATGTCTTTGACAGTATGTGGGCAGCTGCTTTGTTATTGTACTGTTTACGTTTAACGCTGTACATTGCGTATGTACACTGTACGCTCGTGAGAATAAAGTGGGATTTTTATACCGTACGTGTATGGGGTGCTGAGAAGTCAGAATTTAAGATTTGGGCGATTTAAAGGAATCATGAAGAAGCTGCAGTTATTAATTTACTGTTTTTTCTTGGATATTTATAAGTATTGGCAATGAAATTTTGGTACGAAAACTTGATGTTTATGGATTGTTTATATAAGGAGAAATTTTTCTGTAATTAATTTAATATGGGAATGTGACAGTTAGTAATTAGATTTGAGTGCCAAGAGTCTAATTTTCAATTAGATTACGGAATCTTTAAATTTCAAAATTTCGAATTTCATGTTTTATAATTTTAAAATCTACAAATTTCTGAATTTTAATATCATTAAATTATTAAGTTTTCACATTTTCAAGATTTGTGAATTTTGAAATTTAAAAATTTCCACAATGCAAAGATTATAAGATTTCAAAATTAGGAAATTTATAAAGTCTGAGCCTCTTAAATTCGCAAATGTTCAAATCTATAAAAGTTAAAATCTAAAATTCTTGAATATTCAGATGTATAAATAATCCAATTCTCACATCTCTAGATTTGTGAATTTTTGAATTTCTAATATTCCCAATATCTGAATTCCTAAATCTTAAATTTCCAAATTTCTAATTATCCAAATTTAAAAAGTACCAAGTATAGAAATTCGTGTAAACTCTTAGATTTTTAAATTTACAAATTTCTAAATTTCTAAATTTCCAGATTTTCAAGTTTAAAAATTTCTAAATTCTCATATTTCTAAATTTCAGGTTCGTAAACTCCCAGATTTCCAAATTTCCAAATTTCTAAACTCCTACATTTCCAAATTTGCAAATTTCTAAATTCCCAGATTCATTCCAATATCCTTTTGGACATTCTAATGTCAAAAATTTCCAAATTCCTAAACTATTAAATCTCAAATTTTCAATTTCTCAAATATAAAAATTTGTGCGTTCCAAATGTATGAAGTCGTGTTTTCAAATTTTGAAAATTTGAAATATCCTAATTTCTATATTTGCTAATTTTTAAGTTCCCAAATTGTCCAAAATCCCAAATTTTCAATTCTCCACACTTATTTCTTCCAAACCCTCATATGCTAAAATTCTGCAATTTTCATATCTCTGAACTTGAAAATTTATAAAATAAGTTCGAAATCTCAAATCTTCAAATTCTCAAATATGCATTCAAATCTCCCAAATTCTTCGAAACCTGTAACCTCTCAAACCTAAACTACCAAATCCTCAAATTTTCAATTCCTTAAACCTTATACGACTAAATTCCGCAATTCAAACATCTCCAAATTCACAAATTTGCAAATTACTAATATTTCACCAATATTTAACTACCAATACATTCATAATCAACTGTACACAAAATAAATACTAATCGTATTTGTTCCCAGAAACGGTGTTCACTGAACAGTCAATCTATCATTGTGTACTCCTCTTTTCTCAACGCCTATATGTCACTTTATGTACATATCTGTCCTTCTTGAGTCACTGTGCTTCCCCGTTTCATATTTTCCTTGGTGATGACCTCGACGTTATTTACATATTCTCGTTGCAGCCAACGCGATTTGGTATAAAAGGCGAAATCTCCAGCAGTTCGATGACAGTTGTCACTGCAATTTCGTGCAAGATGAAGGACCTGTTCGGAATCGCCATTTTGACAACGTGTCTGGCATTCTGTCTCGCGGATTGTCGCTCGGGACTTAATGGACGTAATGACTGGTACCGATGTGAAGGATTAAAGGATTTAAACGTAATTGTTTATTATTATTTAGCGTGATTGTGTTGGCTATTTTTAACAAACACAAATATTTTTTGTCCTTACGCTGTGAATAAACACAAATATTTTTTATGCTTACGTTGTTAATAAAAACGAATATTTTTGGTTCTTACATTGTTAACCAACACTAATAGTTTTGTTCTTACGTTGTTAATAAAAATGAATATTTTTTGTTCTTTCATTGTTAATCAGCACAAATATTTTTTGTTCTCACGCTGTTAACAAACAGGCATATTTTTTGTTCCTACAGTGTTAACAAACACTAATATTATTTGTCTTTACGCCGTTAACAAATACAAATATGTTTAGTTTCTACAATGTTAACAAACACTAATATTATTTGTCTTTACGTCGTTAACAAATACGAATATTTTTTGTTCCTACAGTGTTAACAAACATTAATAATATTTGTGATTACGCTGTTAACAACTACGAATATGCTTTGCTCTTACACTGTTAACAAGCACTATTGTTATTTTTCCTTACGCTGTTAAAAACTATGAATATTTGTTATTCCTACAGTGTTAACAAATACTAATATTCTTTGTTCTTACGCTGTTAACAAATAGGAATAGTTTTTATTCTTTCTCATATACCTGTACAAATGGTGTCCACTTGTCACCACAAGTTTGCAATAGAAATAATCATGAGTAATAAGACACATGATGAAGTGAATTATTAAAGGTACTAAAACTGCATTCATCAATACAATGCTTGAGTTCGCTGTTTCACATTATGAATATAATTTTAGCGGTATCGAGAATTTTATTATCTTCGTGCTTTCAGTTTTTAATTATTCAATCAAGTTAACTTCATGACTGACGTTTCGTAATTAATTATTTTATTGAATATTATATTGTCTTGTTTTCTACGTGAAAGATTGAGAAAATTATTCTGTTGAATATCATATTTTCTTTATTATTTATACATGAATGATTGAGAAAATTATTGTATAGAATATTATACCCCTTTTCTATTTCTATATGAAAGATTGAGAAATGTATTGATTTATTTGTATAATTATTTTAAGCCGGTTTTTTTAAGGTAATACAACACAGAGTATAAGTAAACTTTGACGTATTAAATTTGACAGTATGATCGATCATGCATAAAATGTGATTGCAATTATTCAAATGGGAATCGTTTCAATCTTCAATTTTAAATTTCCACTTGATATTTTACACAATTAATATTAACTATACACGTCTTCATATATTTATTTGTTGAACGCTAAAATTGCATTCACAACGACATTATCGTGCTCTTAATATTTTTCTGAATATACGAAAGAAATGCGATAACATTTATCAACACTCAGACGGTTAAGTAAATAAAATCATTACTTCGTTACTGATTGAATAATAAACGTCTCATTATTATGACATAATTCCAATATACTCATTATGTATCCTGTATATTATAAAAAATAAAATTTTTGAAAAATACGTACATATTTTTCATAATGTACACAACATAATAATAATAATATATAATTTTATAGAATCGCATATTATTAAGTTTATAAATTTCTCATATTATGTTTTAATATTTTTATATATTTTAATTTCATAAATGACTGTATTCTAATAAGTTAATTCTAAAAATATTTGACTATATAGAAATTGGGATATGCAGGGTATTGGATGACTCTTAATTAATATTTTAATTTGTAAATAAAAATGATAAAATTTGATACTGAAGATACCCTCAGCTTTGCATCAATGATTTGATATATTTAAAATTTACATCTACATTGTCAAAACTCGTTTTAATGCTGCAGATATTTGCAATATAACGCAATAATGTCCAAATTCATGCAATAGGTGCTCATCATTCCAAAAATCTAAATATGTTAAATATCAAATATCGAGTATCGAGTATCGAGCATCGAGCATCGAGTATCGTTTGCCAATTATCAATTGTCAATTATCAAATATTGGAAATATCAAATAGTTGCAGATTCCATCAGGAGCGGTTGCCATCAACATCATCAACTCGAACATCACCAAAATACCAGCAGATGCATTCGCCAAATTCTCCAATTTAGAAGAATTAAACATAACCGGTTGTGGCGTAGAAGAAATAGAAGCAAACGCATTTAGAGGTTTACCTAAATTGCAGTCTCTCGGTTTGGTCAACAACAAAATCCGCAGCATCGACGCGTCCTGGGTCAAAGACCTATCAAACCTGAAAGAGTTAAATGTATGGCGTAATCGCATCGCGGATATAGATCCCGCGATTTACGATCTCCTGCCCGAACTGAAAGTCTGGGATATCGCGTACAACGATTTGAACAAGTGCCTGTCACCCGAGTTGCTGAAGAAGCTCAAGAAACTTCGAAGAATTTTAATCGCCGGCAATCCGTGGTCTTATCGATGCCGTTCGTCGATGACTTGGTATCTCGGCAGCAACCACATTCGTTTCATCAAGGATTGGAGCATCAGCGATTTACTGATCGAGGAATGTTTAGCTCATGAACCAGGCGCTGAGACCGATGACCAAATTTTGAACAAATGCGTCGATCGCAAGGTGGGATCTTCTGACACGTTGCCTTATTCTGTGGCTGGATTGAACGAACAAGTTCGAGAATTGACTGAACAGGTCCATAATCTACGAGCGGATGTCGAGATGCTGAAGAAGTCCAAACATTAATCGTACTTAACTTCTTACCGATTTACCTTTCGGAGAGACTATGTATTAATTTTGACACGCTGTGCTTTTAAGACTTTATTATACGCTTTTATGTGGAATTTAGGATCCATGTTTATAATACTCTGAGCAATAAAAATGATTCATTGAAGGATGTTGTATTTTAATTGTCTAGGTTTGTTTTTGAGAATCGTTCTTTAATCACAGTATATTAAATGACCAGTTACAGCAGAAAAATATATAAACAATAGATGATACATCTAGTTCAAACGTTCATATTAGTTCATATTAGCTCATATGTTCATCGGGAATTTGTCCTAGCTTATACGTTCATACCTCACACCAAATTATAGGTTGTTACTACGTAATTCATTTTGGATTATATCAACTCATATGTTAATACTAGTTCATATTAATTCATATCTACTCATACATTCATACCAGCTCAGTGTTAATTCTGGATTTTATCAACTTACACATTCATATATTTATACCTTCATAATTTTATAGAAGTTCATAAGTCCATACGTTCATACTATTATAATTTATAGGATCCTACAAATTCATACGTTCATATTAGTTCATACTAGCTCACAGTTAATCCTAGATTCTACGAACCCATACGTTCATACATTCATAAGTTTATAGCAGTTCAAATGTTCATGCATTCAGACTACTTGGTACTTCATACTAGTTTATAGGATCATACTAGTTCATACGTTTATGTTAGTCCATAGTAACTCATACGTTCATATTAGTTCATACTAACTCATACGTTCATACAAGCTCGCACCAATTCATACCAGTTCAATGACTTCATATGTCGACAAAAGTGAACAAACATTTCGACAAAATCTTCCATATAATTTCTGTGGTCTGAAGTAAAAAACCTAAGATCCGTCATTTTGATTGGTTCCGTAAATCCAGCGTTAATACCGCGAATTGAGCGCGATAGACTGCTCGCAATGCAGTTTTTCGTATCAGTGTTATTCCGCTTGGCTAAAAAATCGTCGGCTTCTGGGAAACCGGTCGCGTATCGGTCTCTGGAACCGTTAATATCTAAACACCTAAATCACAATGGCACGTCATACGCGCTAGCCGCGTTAAATCACGATGCGTCTAGCTGCTTCATCCTCGGTTCTGGCCGATTCTCGCGCTGGGACAAGAACATTCCGACTCTGGTTAGCCACCATTCATCACAACCCGGCGGCGTCGGCTTGGTGGTGGTTTAAAAACGCGTATCGTACACGCGGACGGATCACGCTCGCGCACGCTCGTGAGATCTTTGACGCGGTTTCCGCGGTCATTAATAATGCTGCTCGAGGCGGCGAGCCGTGCGAAAAAATAACGGCCCCTTGGGGGTGGGAGGAGAGCGAACGACCGACCGGCTGAACGGGCAACGTATCGGGGTAACTACGAAACCAGCAGCAGACAGTTCCTCGACACTATGTGTGTGGAACTGTCTGTTGCATCGCTGTTTAACCGTTTACCCTTGGCACCGCCGACGTGAGCCGATAACCGTCCCGTATCCGACCTCGTTCGCTCATGGGACTCGCCACGGGAATCTACTCGTGAATCTTCTGCGAACGTCGTATTTTGGCTACCATCTTAAATCCTTTGCGGCAATACTTTAAGAGCAAAATGCGACACATCATTTATAGAACCTGGTCGTTTTTAAATAGGAACACGTGCAGAAATCTTATTTTTGTTAAAACTTATTAAGGGCACGTTTATGCTTGTTCAAATTGGCAGAAAATTTGGTGATCGTGTATGTATATATGATGTGATATGATACTGTATAGGTTAGATGATATAACCCTTAATGTATGTATTAATGAGACATGGTATGATATATGTATATGTACATATGATGTATGTACTTATGATATACACATATGATGTATATGTATGTATGTTATGATATAACTCATGACTTGAACGTAATATGATACTTGAAGTGTACGTACTATATGACGTATGCGATGTACATGCGATATTATGTGATACATGGCGTGTATAGAATATGATATGGCGCAAGATATATGCACGATATGTTAGGATTCATGATATCATATAATACATGATGGGTACATGCTGTAGTACGATATGTATGGATGATATGAGATAACACGTGATGTGTACATATTGTGATCTGGTACGTGATATGTACGTGATGTATGACACATGATATATATGCTATAGTATGATACGTGATACGATATGATATGATTCAAGATGTATACATTCATGATGTATATGCATGGTCTTATGTACTGCATATGTGTATATTACGGTATCATACATGATAGATAGGCGATATGATATGATGCATGGATGTGTGCAGTGTAGGTGATATAACATAATATAATATAATACATGATGTGCATGTTATTTTATGAAATATGATGTATGAGCGATATACATAATATGAAATGCCATGTATATGCTCTATAATATAATACATGATGTACACATGCTTAGATATGATATATGATATCATATTTATACTATATTTTCTGATACTAATGGATACATATTTTAATATGGTACATGACACATACAAAATATGATATAACACAACATATACACAACACATGATGCATCTCCTACATATGATACATATCGTATTCATAGTATTATGTATAGGTACACAGTAAATCATATGGCACGCATGATACAAAAAAATATCTTGTTACTTATTTATTGCAATTAATCATAAAATAGTGTTTAAATTGCTCTACTTTAAAATAAAAAATGAATTTTATTGAAAAATAGCGTCACCGCGCAAAGGTTATTTCGTGACTCTAATTAGGAGGTCTTCTGTATAGGCATGAATGTTGCGATTGAAATCAAGACGCAACGCGTAGTTTAGTAACAACGTTCCTCTCGGTTCTTTCTATTTGTACTTAATCAGACTCTGCTCGAGCATCGCGAAGGATTCGCGGATGCTATTGTGGCGGAGGCACCGCGTGAGCACGGTAGGCGCACGGTAGGTAAAGACCTTAGGAAAGGATATTGTTCCACCTCCTGCACGGAGAGAAACTGCTCGGCGCTGTGATTTATAGAGAGGATCTCGTGCCTCGTGCTGCATCGCATCGTCCAGGTCCTCCTCTTCGTCGTTGTCTTCGTCGTCTTTAGACGCAGAGTTGTGGCGCAGCGAAGCGTTCCCCGTATGCAGAGTGCTCCAGTTCCCACGCCGCGAGGCTATGCACTCTCTAAACCAGGGGTTCCCAACGGGGTCGGTATTGACCCACTGGGTTCGATAGAATTTTAAAGGCGATCAAAAATATTATTAACAGTCGATAACTGAAAATACGCCGGAGATTGATCGGCATAATCAAGATTCCATTGATTGCAAAAGAAATTGATTAATAAAATTCATAATTAATTGTTTGTTGATCATGTAATTTGATAAATTTAATATATTCTATTAAAAATTAAATTATGATAACTTTTTTAGAAACACAAATTACTGAATATATTTACAAAATCAGTAATACTTTTTTAAAATTCTCCAAATGTAAGGAAGTATAGAAAATACTGAAATAATGAACCGAAGCAAAATTTTGTTCACTGATAGTCAATATGTTACTTTAAGTTATTTCTGTGCAATTATTTGCATTATGATTATGTTGTGAAGTTTTTGGGAAAAATAAAAGGGGGGCGATGAAGGAAATTTTTTCAAAAGTGATGGATGCAATTGATGGGTTGGGAAACCCTGTTGTAAACGATAAGCGTTCGTTGATGGCAGAACAAATACTGACAGTAGAACAAATACTGAAATACTAAAAGGGGGTTGTATATACCGTTCCCTAATAAACGAAAAACAGAATAAAATGTTTGTCGAATACACGACAAGTAGAAATGAGTAGGCAAATTCTGTTAATTCTTAAACGATAAAATAGGAAAATGAAACCGCTCCATGGAGCCTAATACTCTTCTCGTGTTCCTTCAAAAAGGAAGAATAAAATATCTAATTCAGCAAATAAAAGTATTGAATTAGCAATAGTTACAAACAATAACTGTACTAATTTATACAAAATCTCTAAAGCATTTATCACATTTCTGTGTCTTCCGTAAGATCTTAAATTTCTCGCTAACTGATCGCACCGACATTACAAACTAAATTAACCACAGAAATATGCAAAGTCACCACAAGTGAGCCAGGTATTTATTCACCCTACATTTTCCATCAATTCCGGGCACTAAAATCTGAACGGTCCAGACGGTCCGTACCCGGTCAATTAACAGAGAAATCCGGGAATACCGTGGAGTCCAAATATGCGCGCGTTCGCCATCAAGGTGGATGGGCCATAAAAGAAAAGCCTGGAGACGTAGCGATGAATGTATCCATGAGATTCGGGGCTGCAGTTCCGAACTATTCCCGGTATTCGTAGCGCACATGAGGAGACAACGACAGACCGTTCCTATACGCGATGACAAAAGGCAAAATATGGGTTGGATCATCCAAATGTTCTGGCTGCTTCTACATACTCTTTCCCCTGTCCCTTTCCTTTAGCCCGTAATCTCCGGCTCGTGCCTTCGTAATAAATATAAAAGTACCCCAGCGGGATATAGCTGATAGTAACGCGACTGTTGCCTCGTCAGGAAAGACCCGGCGAAGTACGGGGGTTGGACAGGGGTGCCGGTATATTATTTGGCGGGCCTCCAGCCGGCCGCGAGGCTCACTTCGTGCTTTTCATCTTAGGCATAGTTTTTCTTTTTTTTTCTCCATTTTACCTTTTTTTTATACATTGAACAAAAGGAATATACGGCGCTCTCTCTTCAGGTGAGCACCGACGAGTATCGATGACGTGGCGTTCTGTTCTGTTCTCTTGATTTTACATTTTTTCCGCGTACGTTGATTTGACATTTTCGTCCGTTGCATTGTGGACCAACGGCTGAAAAGCCTGAATGCCCCGGGAATAAAGGGCTCGGCGAACGCTGCCCGAGGAAAAGGATGCGCCACGATTTCCCTGATACCGACAGCCGTTGCTCTATATGCCCCCTTTCGACGTTCAACGCGGATATATGTAGGATGGGAGCAAGAAGATGAGAAACGGATTAAAGTTATAGTAAATAATTTAATAAATTGAAAGGAATACAAAATTTGATAGTTCACGTTTCTACGGTTCGGCCAAGACTAGACTG